CTGCCGCGACGGCAATGATATGGCTTCTATCTTCACTCCCCGGCGTTGATGTCCTACTCTCTTCATTGCTCACATTTTTTGGAGAACTTGTTGATAAAAACTGTTCAAAAGACACCACCTCTACCACTACATGCTCCGATTTCTGTGCCTTCTCCTTCTGAAAATCAAATACATACAATCAACTTGATTTTGATTAAAACAACACCAAAAGCTAACCCTCGTCAGTCTTACTTGCTTGGATCAACTACATGAATTACACAAGTACATTCACCTTACTTCAACTCCAAATATCGTTCACATTATTTATCTAGAAATTTTTTTTTTAAATCTTTTTTCAATATTTTTCCTGATCTCTCTTTTCTTTTTTCTAAAACTAAAAGGTTATACTACATCCGGTAACCGGCCTACTTTCTACAAATATTTTACACAACACAAATACCTATCTACCTACTACATTGTTAGTTACCACCCTTGGTTTAACGGTTTCTCTTCTCAAGTTTTTATTAATATATAAAAAATCATATTAAATTAGAATTTTATTCATTATTTTAATTTAGTTTTAGTTTAAGTATCAAAAAGAAATTTAACTTAAGTTTAATTCTCACAATTTAAAATTAAAGATTTCACTTTAGTTTCTTAAAGTGTTTGACATTTCATATTTTTATGTTTTTAAAATAAAAATATTTAAGAATTACACATGATTTTTGGTTTAATTGATATTGTAGTTAGTTTTTAAATTCTACAATCTTAAATTTGAATTTTGGGTTTTAATTTTTAATATTATTTAAAAAATATAAAGATAAAATCATCTAAAAAAAATTATAGAAATTAGAAAACGATTATAATTATGTATCCCTTTATATATATATATATAAGGAAATTTGACCATCTTATCAAATAAACACTATCAATTTCAAATGATAAAGATAGCTTAAGCTACTAAAGTGAAAATTTTAAAATTTGAAGAACAAAATAAGTTTTTAGACATAGAGAACCAAATTGAAAGAAAAAAAATGTTACAAGTAGACCGAATAGGTTTTCCTGATAAGCAATCGCTTGTGAAAATGACATAATGAAAAGTATCATTGATATTTGGTATGTTTGAGATGGTGAAGAGGATATTACTTAGGATGCACACTAAATGAATATTGGTGTGATGGGTTTCGTGGTTTACTATGGGACACATATATACTATACAATTAATACATGTTGACTTCGTAGGGGACCATGCACCCACATACATAATTACATGTATCAGGTTGATGGTCCACAAAGCTGAGAAATTCGCAGGCATCTCATCATTATTGTGAAGAGCTCATAAAACACAAAAACTACATTACCGCAAGCAACTAACTTGCTGTTCACTTACCTTACGCAGAAGGTTTTTAGCCATTAATGCGAGAGGCAAAACTTGATTAAGATCATGCCATTCCTTATAATGCAAATAGATATATAATTCATTTTCTTTTTCATTTTGGGTTTGGGGTTGAGGAGAAGTCCATGACTAGTTCAATAAGTTTGATCAATGCATAATAACTGATTGACCGTTTTGGTCATGATTATGATTTAAAAGTATGTACTAAAATAACAAATTGCGGATTAGTGATTACCCCCAAAGTGTAATAACAGTTTCCTAATACTAAAATAACACATCGGTGATTAGTGATTATATTGTTATTTGTACCATCTCACATATAATCTAAGGTGAACATGTTCAGATGAGTCTATCAACATGGGATAAGTTATCTGAGATATTATTTTCATATAAAAAATATGGACCAAATCTTATCTTTAATAAATATTTAAATTATTTTATTGAATTTTAAAACTCTTGAGACTTATAAACTCATAAATAATCAATTATAAATACTTCTACTCTGAGATTGGAATGGATAAATTACACACTTAAATGTTCTAGGCTCGCATAAAATAAATTGTAGGTGTCCACCGAATTAGAACATAATAAACAGGGGGGAAAATTGGAATACAAAATGCTAGTTGCGGTCTCTATAGCCATGTCCACTTATACTAGGATTAATGGTGATTTTAGTCTCCAAAAATGCTTCCATTTTTAAGAAGAAAAAAACTCAACAATTATAACAAGAGTGCCCTACAAAACATTTTAAAAGAACATAAGAATAAGGAGAATATGGATAACCTTCTTCTCAGGCAGGGGTGAGTCTTTAGACGACGACTTGAAAACTTTCTTTACCGATGAGAACCAGCTGCCTCCTTTTTTCCCCATCAATGACGAAAAAAGATCTGTTTCTCATAACCAACATCATTATCATATATATATATAAAAAGATAGATGTATTAAAGTATCACAATATTAAAAAAAAAAATCCTAATTAAGTTAAGATTTCATCCCACAGTAATCATTTGAAACATATCCAAAAGATTATATAACGCTAAACATATATAAAAAAAACAAATACAAAAGATGTCCATAACTAATCTTATGAGAATTAAAATGTGAAAAACCACATTTTTTTCTAGAATAAAAAGATACTTTCTATATAAGAAAGAATAGCAGTCTACCAAAAAAATCCAATTTCGCTAAATAATTATCCCAACCATTTTACTCCCTAAATACATTTTACTCTCTAAATACATAAGAGAATCGAAATCTCATAGTCCTAATCTTATATATATATATATATATATATATATATATAACAAATTTATCCATCTAAAAACCTTATAATAATTTACTATTACGACTACAACAAAAAAACTTTGTAATACAAGTTAGCTAGTGACCAACACACCGAGACATAAATCAAAGTGTACTTAGTTTCGGAGTGAGGCATGAAACAAACCTGGTGAAACAAGTGGTGCCGTTTTGCATCACTTCACATATCGTGCCTGGAATGTTTTAGAATCAGAGCAAAGAAACGTTTTTGGTTGGGTGCAGAATTTAGAGAGAGAAAGGATGAGGACACCGAGAGAGAGAGAGTGTGTGTATGTGTGAGATTAGTAACTGTGAGCCCGCGGAACCGTCGTTGGTATTTATCAAAATCACGGATGTGTTGGACCCGTAACATTAGCAAACTAACATACCATTTTCCATATTCTTACTAGAAGGGAGGAGATCTTATTTTGATTTCATACACAAAAAATAAAAAATAAAAAATCCCCTTCCCTCTAGAAATAGAAAAGAAATAAATTTATCAAAAAGAAATAAAACAGAAAAAAATATTTAATTCTCTTAATTTTTTTTTGGCAAAATTCCTTAGTTGATCTCTTATAATAATTAATAGTTTTGAATTTTGTCCCTCTATAATTTTTTGTTTCAATTTAGTCTCCAATAATTTAAAAAATGTTAATGTGGAACTTTCCGTATAAATTTTACAAACGGTGTCAAATGTAGATGACGTGGATCACATAGATAATTTCCATAGTCCTTCTTTAATGAACCTAGAACGACCCGTTCTGAAACCAAAACGGATCGTTCTAATATCACTCTTTGTGTGTTAATTTTGTAACTGAAACGTCCGTTCCAAATGAAAATGTAACACACAACGAGTGAATCAGAACGGACCGTTCTAGTTTCAAAACGTCTCGTTCTGGTTTCAATCATTTATATATTTTAAATCATACTTATTTATTATTATTATTATTATTTTTACATATATGAGTTTTATTCCAATATATTAAAATATAATATAATTTAGAATTATAAAAATTAAATAAATACTTTTTTTTTATTTTATAATTTTCTTCTTTTTAATTTCTTTATAAACTCATTTTTTATTTTATTTAAAAAATAATTGTAAAAAAAGAAGAAAAAAATTAATAAATGATTGATATTTAAGATAATTACTTAAACTCTAAATTAATTAAAAAA